ATTCTATCGTCCGATAACGATATAAATCACAAAAATGTAACATTTTCTGTAAATTCTGTGAATCTCGGGCAGCTCGACTTGCGGGAAGTGTTTCCAGCTGCGCGTCATGTAGCTGGAGTCGAGTGTTTTAACCGATGCATGAAACTATACATTTTTAGACATAAGTTGTAAGGCCGCCGTTTTCTTTGTGAGTATTTATTACACGGCGTGCTGCGGGGAAAAGCCTGTTCTAACGTTTGAGTCTAAGGTTTATTTTTTAGCACCTGGCGGCTCTTTTTTACTTCTCATCCGTAAATAATCTGCTCTTTCACGTGATTCAGTTTATTTTGAAAAGTCTCAACAGGATCTTGAGCTTTATTGTGAAAGGTTTATGTGGAACATAAACAAGCGGACACGCGATGCTGTTACCGTCTTGTTGCTAACCACAACGCATAAAAACAGGCGCTTGTCCGTGAGTGTGGTTATATTAAATATAAGAGAAAGAGAGAACTTTAAGAAATTAATATAGCCACTACAGTGACCATCAAAACGATGAAAAAATATTGCCGTAAACAGTTTATTTTGCGACACCACGAAACAAACGATAGCGTAAAATGAAACGATAGACGTTTTTATATCGTCATCCGATATATATCGTTATATCAACAGACCTATCTAAAATACAAAACATCAGAACCAAACTTAATTAAATGAAGAATATAATAATGTATTAGCATGTAGCAAGCAGATTATTGTTATATCGAACAGCCCTAGGACAACTTGATCCACAGAGGCTCAAACGATCTGGTGCCAGACACCACAGGACACCCCTGGAGGACCTGCCTCGATGACCTGAGGGATCAGATTTTAGGATTTAGAAGCCAGGTGGGGGAACTATACTAAATCACTCTATTCTCTGAAAAGATTTCACTTTGAATCTTACAGATTAAAACGCTAGCACAAATGTGAAAACCCTGTTTTGTCCTGTTATGTTTCCCCTTTTACCAGCAGTCTGCAAGTTTACAGGAGTACTGTTTAGTTTGTGGGTGGAAATAGAAATAATTAAACACATTATGGTTTAATAGCAACTGTATGGTACTGCTGGGATGTCTGCGTATAACAGTTTCTGTGCCGTGTGGGTGTCCAGCCCCAACTTGTTTGATTGTATGTTTCTTGCTGCTCAAACTGCATGATGTGTGAAACTCTTTTTCCTTCTGCTTTCTATTGAGAGGACTTCAGGTTAAATGTCAGAAATAAACATGACAGCGATGACACTGGTTCTGTGGTTCTTCGAGATGCATTTTCCCACAAGCTGTGCTGACGCTAAACACTTAAAGAATAAACATTATAAAAACAGCACAATATGACAGAAACGAATGATAGTTGTTTGAATTTGAGCTCTTTTCATATCGATTATCTTTCGGTGTGAACAAAGCTTATTTAAAAGAAATGTGGATGCTGATGCAAACGCAATATCAGCTAGTCTCTATATCAGAAAAGATGAGCAGCTCTGTGGTCTTGCTTCTCTTTTTCTGCTCCCATATTTTGATGCAGTTTGCTAGTCACGAACTGCAATTGCAATTTACACGACAAAGCAGTTAAATATCTTTACAAAAGAAAAACTCAAGTAGAACTGATATTCAAGGATAATCTGACCCGTTTAGCTCTGCTGTGAATTGTGCTGTTAATTCTGGTCATAATTCCAGGAGATTTCCCTTGTTGGCTGTTAGTGATGATTACCTGATGTAATTAATGCAACACATTTGCACTTCTCCCACAGATGGCAACAACTCACTGCCTTTATGCATGTAGACACGATCCAGATGATCTGCTGAAGTTTAAACTGAACTTCAG